ACGTTTTTCTTCACGGAATAAAAATGTTCGTTTTGGCATTCTTTTCCAAAATAGGCCTGTTTTATCAACATTAAAAACCAATTCTGGAGAATAGTTTCCTTGTTCAATTATTGTTTTTAATGTCGCTGGGAATTCAACTGCCACTTTCGTATCACCACTTACTTCTTCTTCTGTAATCTGTATGTTATGATGATTATTTCGATGTTTAAATCCATTAAACCATCCTCGACTTGCAACGAAAGTTTCACTTGTGTCACTTGCCTCAACCTGAATAGAATTAAAAATCCTTCTTGCTTTCTCCATTATAATAGATTGTCTTAATGGCATATTGTGTTCAATTTCGTCGTCAATCCATATAGAAAGTTGTTTTTCCATTTCTTCTATTGTATTATTTCTAGAACGGGTAATTCTAGTTGCAGAGCTTGTCGTAGTTGCAGTTGCCGATGACAGTATTTTTCCTTTATTCTTAAAAATAGTCTTACTTTGCCAAATTCAATGCAGCACCAATTTGAGATTGATGTTCATTAGTATCTAATCTCCAAATCACTTGCATTTTAGTTTCTAGTGAAATGTTTTTTCTTGTTGCTTTATTTTCATGTTTTTTATTATCACCCATGATAAAAACTAAAAATCATAGTATTGGTCACTATATCAATCGTTATATTATATAAATTTATACTTACAATAATGTCAACAAATGTTTGAAACAATAAAAATACGTTCGTATAACACCTTAGGAGAGAAGAAACACAGATAAACTGCTTCGGATATCGGGAAGCCTAACACCGCGTGCAATTTCGGGGATTCTCACAATTCAAATAAAAGAGCGTTAAACCGAAACAGCGTTAAGCAGGGCCTTACTGTACTAAGATTTTTTTTTTCTTTTTTGATACACATCACTAATCGAGTCATTTCTTAAGTTACAGTATGTTGATAAAAAATACGTTCATATAACACCTTAGGAAAAAAGAAACACAGATAAACTGCTTCGGATATCGGGAAGCCTAACGCTGCATGCAATTTCGGGGATTCTCACAATTCAAATAAAAGAGCGTTAAACCAAAACAGCGTTAAGCGGGGCCTTACTGTACTAAGATTTTTTTTTTCTTTTTTGATACACATCACTAATTGAGTCATTTCTTAAGTTATGGTATGTTGATAATCATGCAGTTGTGAAAGCAAAAAATAATAAGTAATATTTTGCCAGGTTGGTGTCAGGGACATAAATTGTTCAGTAGATGTAAAATCAACATTGTTTCGAACTAGAATGTTTTGGTTAGAGATGTATCTCAAGCAAAAAAGTGGCTACAGAGCTAAATTATAAACCATACAGACATTTTCCATAATAAATGATTGTTTCTTCAATATGGAGAAATTTTTATTTAGTTGTGAAGTAAATTATAAATCTGGACTCTCTGCATATTTTATTATGAAAAATATTAAATATGCAAGAATAAAGCATACAAAAAAATTTCAATTAAAAAAAAATAGTTGCTGTTAATCTGGTTTTTAGATCATTTTGGATTTCAAACTTTGTACTGTAGTATAAACATTTTTATTATTAAATACTAGTATATGCATTCTGTTTTAAAATATGATATAGGATAATTAGGAATGATTCATTGGGTTTTAAAGTCCTGTATTTCATAAAATATTGTTGATGGAATTATAAATGATACACAGAAATGAATGTTAAATATCCAAGTATATATCCCAATTTTAAAATTCACTTGAATGTCTCAATGAAGAACTCTCACACCACTGGGTTGGGCAATAGTGTGCTAAAGAAGTACAGTGTTCTCATCACTTGCTCAATTTACAGACCTCATGGTTTGTGATTTCTTTCTCTAGGGATGTGTTAAAACTCTTTCTAAATCCCCCACAGCTAGAAACATTGGCTGAATTCAAGAATCGGATTTAAGGGCATTATTAGTCAAACTCGAATACCACATACATGTGTCTTTTGGACCACACTGAAAATTTGTGATGTTATGAGCACAAACTTGGATATTTAACATTTATTTTTTATATCATTTGTTGCTTCATTGTTTCATCTGTAATATATTTTAACCCATATTTTACCATTGTCCTTTATGCAGGACAGTACATATATGATGGCTGTACCAAAAAAGTAATAATGTTTAAACTATTTCTTTCACATTATATTATTGCTAGAAAGCTGCTTGTTATATTAGCTATTTTCTTTTAAGTTTTGACTTTTATAAACCTGTTTTTTAAAAACATACAAAAAGGACTAATTTTGATTTTTTGCATTTTATTTTTTGAACACATAAAAAAAGAGGAAAAAAGGGTAAAATAAAAAGTTTTGAATTTATGCTTAAATAAAATAGGTCTCCATTAATGTGAATGACAAAAAATCCGAAAGAAAAATATATTATAGATCCTTATTTTGCTTTCTTTTTTAGAGCGTCCTATATATAGAACAATAGTAAAATCCACTATCATATGACGTTAAAACATAACATTGCTTTGGAGTGAAATGGTTACGTCCATTTCATCTCCTCGGTGTAAAATGTAGCAATCAATTATTTCCTGCGCTGTGTCTCCTTTTGTAAAGAGGTATATTTAGCATCTGAAAGCCGTTTCACACGTTTTATTTGTATGAAAGAAATTTACTTTTGTGAATGTTTATTTTGTAAATATATTTACTTTATGCATCCAAAATGAGTCGGAAATTTCTAACAGCTGAAGAAACTTTGGATTATTTTATGACATTAGATGATGAAGATACTGAGCCGGAAATGGTAATAATACCACCTGATCCAGATGCAGTCAGTGACAATGAAGAAATAGATGATGTCTGTACTAAGACTAAATGCACATAAGCTATTTGTGACGAAAACACAGCAGGAACTGTGGAAATTTTAGTAGGAAATGAAGATGATGAAATAAATATGTGTGGCAAAACTTGATTGGAAAGATTGCGTTCTTAAATATTCATGTGCTTCAGAAATATTTTCTCAAGATTCTAGTCAGTCTCTAACTGATTTTGTTTCTGGAAAATCTCCTACAGAACTTTGAGTATGACACTGAAAAAATGATAGACAAAGGTGTTATTGATTATAACAGATATGCTGGGCAGACAAATAATCATAATTTTTCACTGACAAAACAAAAGAACTCAAGCAATTCTAAGGTATATTTTTTTATAGTGGCTACCTGAAAAAATGTTTTGGAAAAACGTGCCAGACACAGGAACTATACTATTTAGTCGAGCAATGCCATGAAATAGATATTTTGAAATCAAGCGGTATATTCATTTCATTCACAATAGCACCATTACCTCTATTTACAAAGTATGTCCAATTTATGATTTCCTGAATGATGCTTTACAACAATTAGGTGTATTTTCCAAACATCTAAGCATTGATCAAAGAATGGTGAGCTATTTCGGTCGACATGGTTGTAAAATATATATAAACGAAACCAAAGCTCTTGATCTTATAGAATATCGATGGGCTATAACAGTCAGCTATTTGGGATTATCAGTAACTAGGAACATTCAAGGCAGAACATTAGGTGTGCAGCAGACAAATCCGGACTTCTTGAAAATGCAAACTGATCATGTGATTATCAAAAACTGTGATGGACGTCAACGTTGTTGTCAATTAAAAAAATTGTACTAGGAAACCGACAACTATTTGTAAAAAATCTAATATTGGCTAATGTTCGAGTTGTTTTTCACCATTCCATTCAAAGAATAGGCTTGAAAGAAAATAATGTCTTGGAATTTCATAGCACTGGATTTGACCATCGTCCTGTATATAGGACAACCTGTAAACTCAAAGAAAATAAAAGTTTCGTATGTTTTTCAAATTTATTATCTTCTCTTATCTATTTAAAAAACGAAATTAGAAATTTCAAACAAAAATTTTAATTTCTTCGATCATTGGTAAAATATGGGTTAATGTAGTGTTTTAAAAAACTGTTGATTCATTTGTAATCAACCTGTGGTTTTTTTATCCGTAAATATTTAGTATGTGCCTTTCCACCTTGTTTAGAAACAAATGGCTACTTTTCACATGTGTACATTATTTGTTTCATCTGTAATATATATTTTTTTAGATGTAATGTTTTAAAAAAACTGTTGATTCATTTGTAATCAGCCTGTGGTTTTTTTATCCTTAAATATTTAATATGTGCCTTTCCACCTTGTTTAGAAACAAATGGCTATTACTTTGCACATGAGCACATTATTTGCATTTCTTCAGCTAGTAAAAATTTTCTTTTAAAATATAACAATTTTTCATCGTTAAATATTTAATATGCTTCCTATGTTCAATTTGTACTGTGGAAAATGATGCAATAGCAGAAAGTAGAATGCTTAAAAGATTAGCAAAGTGGCAAATTAAAAAACACAAGTATACCTTTCTGTGATTTAGAGGCATGTCTTTGGCACATTATTAGAAGCAGTTGTATAACTGTGGCCACCACGTAACACCTGTTAGAGACAAATTTCTGGGTATGTTTATATATGCTATTTATTTTAAATTCCTTTTAAAAGTACATTAAATAAAATAATAAATGCAAGTTTATATTAAATTGCTTCTGTATTTATAGATAAAATATGTTGTAGTTTGTAGATGTTGAATGAATGTCTGATTTGCATTCATCACGGTTTACTTATTTTTATTTATTTTATTATTATTATTTTGTATGTGTATAATATTTGGCAACAAATCGTGCTTTTCTAAGCTTGCTCCAACTCTGTATTCTCTCACCATGCCCACTGTAAAAAAAAGAAATACCAAAATGGGTGTGATGCAGTAAAAGATAAACTGAAATGTGAAAATAGGAACGTATTGCCTTTAATGATGCAGATTGTAAAAAATTATATAATTTTCAACATATTTTTTTTATGTAATTAAGACTTTTTTTAATCAAAGATAGATTAAAACATTTTTTATTAATCTTTGATCAAGTGAAGAATTCTAATTGTGGTATTTCAAATCCTGATATGCTGTTTTATCTTATGCCAGATAAGTTCAAGATTGCGTGATGTCATTTGTGCATTCTGGCTTTTTGATATCAATAAAGATGGCTTTATTCAGAAAAATGAACTCCGTCGGATTATTCGAAATTACTGTTTTGAATTTAGTGATGATTTATATAATGAGTAAGTATCTTCTTTCTCTGTATGCATACATATTATTAGAATGATATAGTGAATTTTTTAGAAGCAGTTGTTAAAGTAATAGCTGCAATCTTTTGTTTAATTAATCACTTTAAAAATGTGTCAGACCATTAAATAATTACTTTATTGATTATAATGTTATTCCGATTATTTTTCAGAAGTACTAAATAACTGGCAGATCAAGTGTTGTCTAGAATTAACTTTCTATTTTTAAAAATTTCCAAAAGTGTTACATTTAAAAGTCATCCGGAATTTAAGGTTGCTTGCCAATTTCATTTTATAACTGAATGAAAAGTAATCGGTGCAGATAATGGTAGATAATACTAATAAAAATTAATGTATATCTTATCTACAGTTTTAATTAAATGCATTATAAGTTCCAAATGTTGCTTCTTCTTTTCAAGTTCTTTATGTTTATTTTTCAATTTTAATTTTTATTCATAATATTATTGTTATAAAACTTTCTAATTTGCATTATTGAGATGTTCTTTGTCCTTTTTTTAACATCCTGTTTTCTTATTAAATGAGTATTCTAGGTAATTTTTTAAAAATATCATAACAATATTTTCTGAATTTCAGTGTAGATAAAGATAAATGTTTTCATCTAGTGATAATTTTTTTAAAAAGATATTAAAAAAAATTCTTTTTGAATTTATCTTAATATTCTACAGAATAAAGTATTTATGCTGTAGTGATTAATGTTTAAAAAATTCTCAAATTCTTTGCTTAAAAAACTAGGAAGTGTACAGAAACAAGCATTAAGGCTTATCATTGGGGCAGTGAAGCTCTTGCCTATTGATACAATGTTGTTTTTGACAAAAAACAAAACCCATTCAGAATATTATTCAAGAGAGAGCTTCAATACCTTATGAAAAACTTATTAGATTTGAAGATACATTTTGGGGGATTATCAACCCAGAAATACAAACCTCGAAATCCAGGATAAATTTGCCGAGAGGTTTCTGGCCATTAGAGAAATCTTTGAATTTTAAGAAGTGCGACTGCTGCTAAAACAAGAAATCTCATTGAATTGATGGTCTAGAGCAGTGTTTTCCAAGCCTTTTTTTTTTACCTATGCCCCACCTAATATTTTCCAAAATTCTTATACCCTCTAACATATACATACTTTTTAATATTCAAAAATTGAAATGTTAACTAAAGAAACTTGAATGATAGGTTTTAGGGGAAAATCACTAAGAAATTGCTGAGCAAACACAGTAAATAAATTTTCAGAGATATAATGTAGAACTGCATTCAAGTTCAAAATAATTTTAATGAAGGAATTTTCTATATTATTTTAATTATTAGTGATTATTTATTATTTAAATTTAGTGAGATCCTTACGACTGATGCTTGCTGCAAAGAGATTTCATGTTGGGTTCCAGTTTAGTTAAATTCTATCTCAAGTCTTCCTGGTTTATTGCATCCAGACAATTTTTTTTTTTTTTTTTTTTTTTTTTTAATCATTTATGGCATTAACTCTGCATTCCTCTAAATCTGAAGATGGAAACGCTAACAATAGTTCTCTTGCACATTTGGTTTTGGTTTTCTCACAAAGCCATACTGTTGCTCTTTTTATATTTAATAATGTTTTAATTGACTTATCATTTTGCATTTCTGTGAGTTCTTGATACTGCATATTTGAAATACTAGACAAATCCACTAATATTGTCTGCATCATCCAAGTTGGAAATTCAGTTTCTTTCAAATTAGTTAATAAAATTGTCATATGGTTCACATTAACATGTGGTATCAGTCACTCATTTCTAGAGCCAAAGAAATTTTCAAAAATTTTTGTTATAAATATATGTCTGACATGATTCAATAAAGGTAATAAAACCAAATATCTTCACTTTTGCATCGACTAGGATGTTTTATTTGTTCCTTGAAGTTGTTCATTTAGTATATTTATTTTTTCAAAGATATTGGCTAAATAATTCACAAATTGACCATTATCAGATTTTTCATTCCAGGTTAATTATTTAAAAAAATCACTAAGAGTGTCAAATAGTTCCATAAATCTTTTCAAGCAGCTCTTTTTTGAGAGCCATCTTACTTCAGTGTGAATTCTCTCATGGTCTTCATTTTGTTCTTCACAAAATAGCTTGATAACACATTCACATTTGGCACTAGCTTTATATTAGCATTGATACACTTTGTAATTAAATTTAGAACAGGCAAAATGTTTTTAATACCAAATTTTCCTAGTGAATAACACATTGCACAAGAAGCATTTTTGGATTCTAGTCTTTCATCAATTTTAAGCAACCATTTTTTCTTCCCTATCATATTAGGGGCACCATCTGCTGCACAAGGTGTTATATTTTTCATTGGTATATTATTGACATCTAGTAAAAAAAAAAGTAATTTCTTAGCTTACTATATATACTTTTGGAGGTAGTGGTGCTTTCTAAAGATTTACAGAACTACATTTCTAAAGCAAAATTACCTTTATCAATGTGTTTTACTTAAATTATAAATATGGCTGCATTGTCTGCCATAGTTGATTCATCCATTTGCATGTAGAATTTTCTTTTAATCTGTTCCACAAACTGTATTTCAATATCCTCACTCATTTTGTCTATTCTTCTGCTAACAGAAATGTTACTTGATAGCATAACTTATGTCTTTGTCATCTTTTTCCAAAATTTTTTTTAAAAAATGCTGATATGGATGGTTTGATTTAATTCTCCCCTATAATATGACTTTTTCCAGATTTAACAATGTGTAATGAAATTTGATCATGCATACGAATGGTAGTTACATTATTAGTAGTAAACAAAGCCTTTAAAGTTACTCTTTTTTTTTTTAAAGTTTGAAAGTAATTCAAATCTGAATTAATAATGAGCATTATGTTTCACCTTTAAATGTGCCTCAAGACAACCTTGTTTCATTGATTCGTTGGTCAGACATTCTTGGCGTAAAAGCCATAAAGGTAATCATTCATCATAGACAGTGGATATGATTTTAAATATTCCTCAGAATACTGACAAGTTTTTTTTCTTGCTTGCACCACTCTTCATTTCACTAGGGCTGAAATAAAAAAATATAAAGTACATCAAAAACCTTAAAAAAAACTGGAGTAAACATAGACTAAAAATGCATTTTTTAGATATATATGGCACATTTCAATTTACATGGCATTTATAGTATAATCCACGGCCGTCATTCAGTTTTAAGGTCCCCTTAAGTCATAAGGGGACTCTCTGGATGTTTAAAAAAAGTTCTTATTTTGCTTTCAAACTTTAAGATATTTTATAATTATGCATTTATACATATTTCCTTTGTAATATATAAATTTTCCATTGAATTTTACACAATTTTTTATCTTTTATTGATATTTCTTTATGAAAAGCCTAACAAAACCTGTAAATTTTATCATACTAAAAATGCATGCGCAGTTTCAGAATCATAAATTAATGGGAAAAAAAAAAATTAAATACGAACGTTTTTAGTCCCAGAGCAAAAATCTCAAACTCATAAAAAATGAACATTTACTTCTAATTGTATACTTGAAAAATAACTAATAAATACTTTTGCATTGAAATATCTTCTGCATTATTAGCTCTATCACAATTCATTTCTCTTTACCTAATTTTAAAAAAAATCAGTTTTTAATCTTTTATATGTTTCTGTAGGCAAGCATAACACACAAACATTAGTAGCCATTATGAATTATCAAAATGCATAATAATTCCTAAAAAAGTTTATCAAGATCATTTCAGTTCTGCTTATGATAGTGCCAGAATCTTACAAATCTGATATGAAAATAATCATAAAAAAATTTAAATGCAAGGGGAATTTTAAAAGCCTAAAGCTTTCAAAAATTTTCAAAATTAAATCATATCCACTGTCATGATGATGATTACCTTTATGGCTTTTTACGCAAGAATGTCTGACAACGAATAATGAAAATTGTCTTGAAGCACATTAAAGGTGAAACATAATGCTCAATTACATGAAACTGAATATGAGAATTTCTTTTAGTTGCATATGTGAAAAATAAGTTAGAAAGCTTTTTGCTGTAATATGTTCAAATCATTCACTACTCCTTTATCAATTATATTTTTGTTCAATTAGTTTCATAGAATCATGCTATGTCATATTCTGTCTCGTGTAAAAATTATAATGCACAAAATGTCGTCTTACATTACATTTCATCATTGCTAACTTATCTTATCTAACTATCTACTAACTTATCTTTTTTGAGAGCATCTTACTTCGGTGAATTCTCTCATGGTCTTCATTTGTTCTTCACAAAATAGCTTGATAACACATTCACATTGGCACTAGCTTTATTATTGATACCTTTGTAATTAAATTTAGAACAGGCAAAATGTTGTTAATACAAATTTTCCTAGTGAATAACACATTGCACAAGAAGCATTTTTGGATTCTAGTCTTTCATCAATTTAAGCAACCATTTTTCTTCCCCTATCATATTAGGGGCACCATCTGGCTGCACAGGTGTTATATTTTTCATTGGTATATTATTGACATCTAGTAAAAAAAAGTAATTTCTTAGGCTTACTAATATATACTTTTGGAGGTAGTGGTGCTTTCTAAAGATTTACAGAACTACATTTCTAAAGCAAAATACCTTTATCAATGTGTTTTACTTAAATTATAAATATGGCTGCATTGTCTGCCATAGTGATTCATCCATTTGCATGTAGAATTTTCTTTTAATCTGTTCCACAACTGTATTTCAATATCCCACTCATTTTGTCTATTCTTCTGCTAACAAAATGTTACTTGATGCATAACTTATGTCTTTGTCATCTTTTTCCAAATTTTTTTTAAAAAATGCTGATATGGATGGTTTGATTTAATTCTCCCCTATAATATGACTTTTTCCAGATTTAACAATGTGTAATGAAATTTGATCATGCATCGATGGTAGTTACATTTATTAGTAGTAAACAAAGCCTTTAAAGTTACTCTTTTTTTATAAAGTTTGAAAGTAATTCAAATCTGAATTA